TCGTCCTTACCAACAAACCTCTGAGGCAAGTTCTGCTCAAGCCCGAGGTCTCTGGTAGGCTGACGAAGTGTGCCATTCAGCTCAACGAGTACGACCTCCAATACAAGTCGCGAACTGCTATCAAGGCCCAAGCCTTAGCAGACTTCGTCACGGAATGCACTTTCAGCTCCGAAATCCTCAGGCCGATCGAGCACGAGGCCCCCAGCTCGGGCGAGCCCAAAGTTCCCAGGCAAGTTGAGCTCAAGCGCCGTGAAGTAGCAACCAATGCGGCATCTCTCCTAGTTAGGCCGAGCACGAACTGGGATGAGGAGCCTTGGATCCTTCACGTAGATGGCTCGTCAAACCAGCAGGGCAGCGGAGCTGGAATCGTTCTGTACGGCCCAAGCGGTACAAAACTGGAGTACACACTACGCTTCGAGTTCGCGACATCCAACAATGAAGCGGAGTACGAGGCGTTAATAGTCGGACTGGCTTTAACCAAGGAAGTGAAAGCCAAGCATATCGTCATCTGCAGTGATTTCTAGCTCGTGGTTAATCAAGTCACAGGCGAATACGAAGCTCGCGAACCAACTATGATCGCCTACTTAGCCAAAGTAAGAGAATTATAAACATTTAAAATATAGTAAAATATTAACATTTTAAAAAATTTTGAATTTATAAAAATTATAAATTCCTTTTTACTAAAATTTATAAATATTTAAAACCAATTAAATTCATATAAAAATAATATTAATTAATAAAATTTTAGTAAAATAAGAAAAATTTTAATTTAAAATTAATTTTTAATAATTTAAGGTTTGATTTAATTACATTTAAAAGTAATTACATTAATAAAGTTTTAAGATTATTCAATAAAAAATATAGCATATGAACTTGGCCACTTTCATTGGGCAATGTATGCAAAGTGGATTGCAGGCTTGGACCAGCTTAGTTCAATTGAAAATGTCATAAAGCTCATTATGCTTCAATTTCATTTAGTAAAACAACTAGTAAAATATTATATATGCTTAATAATTTATATATAAAATTCATAAGCCTAGTTAACGCTAAGTTAGTTTCAAGCACCCTGGAATCTGGGCCGAGCCCGGCCTGGGCTGGCCTAAGCCACACTTTTTATAAAATAATACATAAAAACTACCAAAACGCAAACGTCGCCTGAGAGATTCGAACTCTCGCGGGGAAACCCCATGTACTTAGCAGGCACACGCCTTAACCACTCGGCCAAAGCGACATTGCGAAAGGTAATTGATTATTTAATATATTAAAATAAACATTTCAGTGGACACCTGGAATCTTTAACAATATGATGCAAAATTAGTAGAAGAATTTACATTTACGTCCTTTAAATACCTCCCACTCACATCTCAGCGTGCATTGAGAACATCTTTTATTGACAATTTTATCGAATGTTCTCAATGCACGCTAAGATATACATGTGGGGCGTTTGTAGGGCACCCTTTATGAACCGCAGATGTAATCTCGTGAAAGAATATTTTGAAATTTTGTAAAGATTATTTATTAATATTAATTAATGAAGAAAAGGTGTTGATAGAACTTCCAACTATCCAAGACTCTATTACTTGTGATTATGAAGATGTCAAGATGTTGTCAACCATATTAAAAGATCTGTCATTGAATCAATTGTGACCATCCAAGTGCGTATTCCGCAGCCATTGGGAAACCAAAGGTAGGATTTGTACTTTGACCCAATCCAATGTTGTCACCACTCGCCAATAAGAATAACCCCAAGAATAAGGGTGTAAATGGTATTCGGAAATTTGATTTGGATAATTTGAATATATAGTCGGTTGAATTTAGATTATTTAATTCGATAAATATTCGAATTCGACCGATTATTTAATTTTTATATATTTTTAATTATCTAAAATAATCAATTAAACGAATCGAATATTCGAATACTTAATCAAATTCGAATTCGAATATTGCCTTATCCAATTCGAATTCAATCTATTTACACCCCTACCCAAGAGTTCAGGAGGATGACATCCCAAGTCTCCACTGCAAGAAAATCTTGCAACCAACCATTGCCACCTTGAATCTGAGTTCCACAACTTAACTTGTTATATAATTATACAAATCAATGTGCTTGTTCACTCAATTATCTTGTGAATATTGTCTACCAACTCAAATTCGAGATGGAATAAATTTTTTATTTTTTATTTTTATTTCAATTTAAAGCTTTTTACTAAGGGGTTATTATTGCTTGCTGCAATAACAATATTTCTTCCATAAATGTAAGGGGTGTTAGGTCAAGGGCATGCATATGTGTTGTGCCAAATATAAAGGATCAATGAAAAGTTAAAACACATACTAAAAGAAAAAAGAACACTAAAATATGAGGGCATGGATGCAAAAAAAAAAAAAAAGCCCATGAAATATTTAAAATTGAAAGGGAGAATTATATTTTATTTTATTTTATTATAGTGTGCTATAAAAGCAAACAGACTGATGAACGGTCTAGATTTTCCAATCATCCTTTCTTTGTGAAAGATTAAATCAAAACTGCCTTTTATTTGAAAAAACAATCATTTCTTATTCTTATTCGTGTGCGAAGTGCTGCCATTCTGCCAACATTGAAAGGAGAAAAAAGGCAAATATGTCTTGGTGTGCATTGTTCATTGAAATCTGATGGCACTTTTGGGTCCAATTCCACCTTCACCACTGCTATCAACATTCCACCTTCCACTGGTATGAAGATGCCAACACCATACAATGTCTGGCTTTAAAGTGAAGGAGAATGATAAGCGCTGACAGATAAAACTGCAAATCATGCTCGTGGTCGTGGGCATCTCTGTGAGTCTCACAGCACATAAAGGCAGCTCATCATAGACTACACCTGCCTTCTGAGTTCTGCTTATTGATCATTGACTCACTATATATGAACGTCTTCCTTCCACTGTTCTCATTATTCCTACGGTTTGACCGATAGGACAAAACATATTATTTGGTTGCTTGGGCTGGGTTTTGTGTCAGGTTGGGATTTGGGCTTACCTTGTTTCTTCACTGTTGTGATTTAGGGCTGCGTAGGGTTTCAGATTAATCCAAACGCAACCCTAGGAATGGGTCAAAGGTCTGAGTCTGGGTCGTGCTTGATTTTTCCATTCCGAGCCTATTTCAATTAAAAAATTTGACACATTAGGCTTGAGATCGGGCCTGAACCAGGCTTGGAATAGTTAGTTAAAAATAGCCATGAACCTATTTATCTATCAATAATCTAAACTATTAGACAGGAATATCGTCAGTTTTGTATGTAAAGTTGAACTGGGTTCGGGTTTGTATCAAGGTCGGGTTATGGTTGAGCTGGGATCAAGTCACCCAGGGGCTACTACACCTGGGCTCAGACAGAAAAAAAAAATTAAATCAATTTTTTGGGCCTAACCCAGCCCAAAGACTGAAAATGAAGCCCATCCCAGCCCATGTGACAATTCTGAAATGTTGAAATTGAGACCCTTTTTAAAGTTGAAATAGAGATCAATTGAAAATAGCTGAGGTGGCTGAACTGAAAGACCTATTATTTTTTCTTTTAGTGGATAAATTAGTCATATTATAACATATTAGGGGGTAACCGAAACAAATTCAACATAATTATTTTTTTTATTACTAAATTGAAAACTGGAATTACACAAAAGAAAATAAACAATAGATAAAGGAAGGAAATATCAAAGGTTAGCATCATGTGAGAGAAAAAAAAAAGCCCACTGGTTTAGTGTAGTGCTAGGTTCTGTTTGGTTCACAGGAATATGAGCCTAGAATTGGAGTAGGAATGGCCTATTACAATTCAGCTGTTTGGCTGGTTGGAATGAGATTTGCCATTCTGGCTGGAATAGCATTTACCCATTGAATGAATGGCCATTTCAGCCTCCCCTTTGGGAATGAGTATCTCATTCCAACCAGCTAAAAATGAAAAAAGAAAAAAAGACAAATGACTTAAAAAGTAAAATCCCCCCAATCCTATTTCCTTAAACCTGATGCCCACCTTCCTTGAGAGTCTTACATATCTTATAAAGTCCAATTTCAATTCTCATTTGAACCAAACAGGTGGGGGAATAGGCGATTCCGATTCGAATTCTGACCATGAATCAAACAGACTCTTGTATATAAAACCTGGCCTGGAAGTTGAACTGTTTTTCTCTCCGGGTAAACTTGTCAGTGGTTCAAAGCTTTAAATGTCTGGTTCAATTGGTAATCACTAATCAACCATGTTATTATTATAGAAATTTCAAAAATGAAAAATATATATATATAAACCTGTAACCCATTAAAGGTCTCAGACGGGTCATTGACCAAGCCATGAACTTTGAACCGGTCGGGTCAACAATTAAATGAAAATAGTGGTTTTCTCAGCAAATTCAAGCAAGAATTGACACAAATGAGCAATTGAACCAAATTATACCAATCAGATTCTACTTCAAAAGACCCATTTCTCTTCTTCACTTTTCATGTTTGTCTTGGAATTTGGATGAACCAGTAGCATGAACATCATCCGGATCCAATATCCGAACTAGATCCACGGGCTCTACTCCATGGATCCATGCAATAAAAGGGGAAAACTTATGCCCAATGCCGGACCAGACCCTGCTCCATCTGGCACACAAATGACAAATGGAGTCCCCAATCAAAGATGGTCCCTTTACCAGACAAGAAATCCATCCATTACTTTCCACCTTTTTTTCCTCCCAGCCACCATGCCATGCCGTGGGCCCACCAGTCAAATGAAATCCAGCCATGGCCAGTCCTAAAGATCCTGAAGGGGAGAAGGGCCCACCACCACCAGGCCCATGAACCTAAGCCAAACAAACTCCTAAAACCACCCAAAAAGCAAATCGATTGGCAGCCAGACCCTGACCCGGCATGGCCCAAAAGGAAAAGCCGAAATTTGAATTGTGTCGAGCACGTCCGTCCTTGACTCCCTGCTCCCCGGCCAGCCCCCCCTCTGTAGTCTGTACATGCTCTTCTTCTACATAATCTAACATCATAACCTCGCCATTATTCAGTCCCCCACCTCACCCACCAAAGAAAACTTAATAAACCCAAAAAGAAACATATCCGAATCCCTAGAACCCTCGCTTTCTCTCCTCTGCCGTTGACTGATTCTCTTCCTCTCTGCATCACCTTCTCTAAACTTTTTTCGTTTTCTTTCTCGCTTTAAATACAACCATTCCTCCATTTCCATTTCCATCGCTCTCAGAGGCCACACCATCAGTGAAGAACTAGGAACTCGAAATCTTCACGCCATGGCGTACAATAGCAGTCTACTCTGCCCTCACCCTTCCTTAGCTTGGGACCTCAACAACGTCGGAGTTTTCAACGCAGACATGTCTCTTGGTATCCTTTCTTCTTTTCCTTTCTTTCTTGTACATAATGTTTCATTTCATTCACCACCGGTGCAACGCAATTAATTACAGTACTATTCTACATCGCTGTCTGTCTTCAGTTATGGAGTCTACGGCACCATTCTTCTTGTCGCCGGCCGATTTTTCGACTGGATATCTACAAGATGCATTGGTGGAGTGGGGTGACCGTTGTAAGCAAAGACGCTTGCAGTTTTATGACAGTGATCAAACAGCTGGTTTCGATCACTTTGTACAGGTAATATTTCAGTCTGAAAATTTATCAGTCAGTACGATCTTTGAATTATGTTACTGGAGAAGAGACTGATAATTTTGTTTACAGAACTTCTCGAACTCGAATTGCACCAAAGACCCACCTGAGAATTTTCACTGCTTGAGCCAGATTTCCGATAGTCATGGAATTTCAGGTCAGCTGCTGTCTCCTTAACTAGATAAATATCTCCATTATTGATTATTGTCAAGAAAGTAGAAGCTCTAAATGAACTGATGATCCAGTTTAGGTTTTTTGAACTGTAAACCGAAATTATGGTGTTTGAACCTTCAAACAGTGTAAAATTAAGATTAGATGGTCATTTTCTTTAAGTATGAAGAATACCCAGAAATGGTTTGAACATTAAACACCACTCCATTAACAGTCAATGAGATTTGACAGGCACTGACTGACACATAAGATATATAGTGATTGTACGTGGTACTTGATACACCATGCTTATTTACTGAAAAACCAATAATTAACTTAATAATCGTCGATAATTTAATTTTGGCCAACAGATGAACTTTTAAACTCTTCAATTAGCAGCATCAGCGATGAAGAAACAGTGGTGTTTTCGGAGTTGAAGACACCAGAAGAGACAGTAGTGTCAGCCCCTGAAACACACAATACATCTGCTTCATCTTACAAGAATCCACTGAAGACTAGCAGCATATGTGACAAAGACACCCTACTCACAAGAGATCCTCTATCATCTTCTGGTACATTCTTTTCCTTGTCTTCTTTCGCTTTACGCGTCCATATTTGTGTCTCAACTTGTTGCTTTGGTTCCTCAGAAGGTCGCTGTCAAAAGAAGAACAAAGTAATAACAGGCGTGGTCTACCCATTTGCACTGGTGAAGCCTGGAGGAGAAGTTGATGGGACCATAACACTCAATGACATAAACGAGAGGATCCTCATGCCTCCTACCAGGCCTGTACGTCACCCAGTAGGGGACTTCGCTTGCCGCCCATGTGTTTGTCGAAATGGGCTCGGCCTCTCTGGGAAATCAGTGGTGGCCCTAACAAGAATCCACACACAAGGGAGAGGAACAATCACAATTATCAGAACAAGAGGTTGAGCCTTGAGGAGTGCTTGTTTAAGCTTAATTAATAAATGCTTGCTTCTTTTTCTTTCTTTTCTGTTCTTCTTTCATTTCTCTTTTGTTTTTCATTTTTCATTGTATATATAAGATATATATGTGTAAAGTTTGGATTTCTTAACTAAACTATGCCGAAAGAGTGAAAGGTTTTGGACTACATAGTACATTATTTTACCATCCCTAGACACTTTAAAATTCCTATAAAGATTCCTTCAGGCTACTAAATCTAAGACCCATGTGAGTTATTGCTTGTGACAAGCACTAAAATCAAAAAAAATTGTAGTGCTTCAGCAACCCTATATCTATATATCCCCCAAAAATCACTACATATATAAATAAGGCCATCCCAATCATCTGGATGCAGTTCTAACCTTTGTCTTTTTTTTTTATGTATTTGGCCTCTCTTAGAGTTTGAACATGCATTTTCATGTCAGTCCGAGATTTTATCATTATATCAATAAATGACCCCTTTAACCCTATCAAAAGCAAATATGAATGTCATTAAAAGGGTGTTTGTTTCCGTTTATATTTATTGAGTAAACACTGCCACATCATTATGTGCATTGGTATATAATCGATGTTTGCTTTTGTAAGCATGTGCTTCTTCTATTTCAGGAAGCTTCATTTTGGAGCTTCCTCTAATAGGTAGGCGTTTATTGACACCTTTACTGATGTGGTACCTAATGGTGCCTATGTGTCATAAACGTCATCATTAATTATTTTTCTTGGTTTTACAACCACACAAATACAAAATGTTTATTCAATAAACTTAAACGAAATCAAATACATACTAAATGCTCATTTGAGTTGACTTGATTTCAACATAAGGTTGTTAATGAATCGGGCAGATCCACTGAACCAATCCAATTATATAAGATCCGGACCTGCATTATCTGTCCAAATTGTAATTGGATCGGGATCGGTTTTAATTGTACCAAACCAATTAAGATCTGAACTGTCAGTCTAATATCAATTTCACAATTAAGAAGGTTTATTTTCAAATTACATGTTAAAAGTATAACTGGGTCCGGTTCAGAACTGGCTCTGTACATTTACTTATGACCTGGGACCAGGTCTACCCTCATCTGGATCAGACCCGGCTAATTGACAGCACTATTTCAGGTGAATTACTGTGATTCAGGAATCAGTTTGGTCCAAGTTCTAGTTGATTTGATTTGATGCTGATCTCTCACTGAAAAATGGAGATCGGTCATCCATTATTAGCTGATCAAAGCTCTGAATATCATATCGTCATGTACCCCCAAGAGTATGGACCCAGTGATGACCACAACAGAGGTCTTGGCCCCGTGCGACTGCGCACAATAACGTTAGTAATTATAATGACAATTTGGGCCATATCAAGCCGTGTGCTCACATGCTTGAATGATTATCAAATGACAAATAAGTGATACAAATTAGGGTTTGTCTGTAACAACGATCAGTCTGTGGATTAAGCTTTTACCCTTTTAGGGTACATTGCACTGTCTGGAGTCTGGACCTTACCAGAAAATCTGATTAAGTAGACACGAGTACTTAGATACAGTGTAGCTTTATACCCTCCCTCTCTCTCTCTCTCTCTCTTTCCTTTCTCCTCTCTCCTCTCTCTGTTTTCTAATTTTTGTGTTTTTAATTTCTGGGAGTACGTGAGAATATGTGCTTTTGCTTTCCCAAATCCCAAATGGGCTTTTGGGGTTTCACCAAAGTATTCTCTTGTTGAAGAAGGAAGAACCCCTTCTTTCTTCTCTCATGGTGACGCCCTGTGACCAAGTAAATGATGTCATTATTCTGTATCCAATCGTTTGTGTTGAGTTGGCATCGTGTAAGGGATGATGGAAATTGGGGTGGACCCACCTAGACCTAGGGTTTAGATCTGCAAAAGCAACCTATTTCTAAAGTTTGTTCTCGGGGTTCCATATCATAGGTTCTAGAACCTCGACTAGACCTCTGCAGAAAAACCACCTGATCAGAATCTTTTATGAAGAAGTTCAATGTCAATGTCTATGTCTATTTGTCCATGGCTTTCTCTGTGGAGCTTTAGTCTATTCAGTCCATTAAGAGAGCATTAATCAGTTAATCTACATCCTCAACAACAGCTCACATCACATGGGTCAATTTCCCAAAATTTATAAGTTTTCTTTATCTCTTCATCTTCTTGGAAAAAGGTAATTTAATGGGTCAATTTGGCTTTTTCTTTAGACATGCTCAATCTATCTCTCCCATGTGGATGAATTATGAGATAATCTATTAGCAGTCCCATGCAATATTCCTGCCATTGGTCCTTATTCATTAAGGTCAAAAGGATTTGCTCTAGGTGTACTAGAGCTTGCACTTTCTGCTGTTTATTTAAGTGTTAGGGATCATGTTACTGGATGAGGTCGAACCTTCTTTTTTTTTAATGCTCAAAGCAGATTCTATATTCTCACCAAATAGATTTTCTTCTTCTTCTTCTTCTTCTACTTCTACTTGTTCTTCTTTCAATTTTCTCTTTTTTCTTTTATTTTCTGTCTTTATTTTTTTCCTTCTTTATAGCATGGTGGCGGGTGACTACAGCCAACTCTGGTAACCCAGGGAACCTTCTTTATCCAGAGCTTCTTTGACAAAAATCGAAGTGGGATCAACCAATTTTCTTATGTATTAGACCAGGCCAAACCCTTTCTTAGGCCCAATGGTTTGTCTGATGAGTTAAGCTAAGCAATGTTGTCAAACACAAGGATCGGCCCAGATGATTGAACCAATGAATGACCCGGTGATCTTTTTGGGTCCTAGCTAGATATTTGATGGTTATCAAAGTGTAGATCTAACTGAAACCATTGAACCAGCAGTGAGCACTCCAGCTTTCTGTCTGACAATGTTGAAGCTAAGACCAGCCAACCCAGCCCAAAGCCTGTGCAGCATAGATTGATCATATCATATGACAATACATTAGCTTCCTTTTATCATTTTCCAAACAGGCCTTTTAGTTAGAAGAGTAGATTACTGTATATAGTATATTCATCTGGAAGCTTAGGTGATAGTGCTCGAAGAGTCGAAGTGATCCAAACCTAAGCACAAGATTAGAGACACTAATCTTGGTATACTCACTAGTGTGCTTAGAGTTGGTATCTCCTGCCAACAAACCACGTTCCAACAACTTACCAACTTGATTCGACACTGCACATCTCACTATGAAACTGGGATCCATTATAAATATGTGACCGTCATGTATGAGATGTCCGGTGTCTGATGATGTTGGTAGGGTGTTAGAATGTATTTGATTGGCAGATGATTTTATCAATGATTCTGTGGCTTAAACACCCAAGCACATATACCCAACCAGCTGTAAGGATGTGTGGAGCGTACATAAAGATTAGAGAGGGGTTAAAGGTTAGTAGACAACATTGAACTAAAGCCCAAAAAAGGCCTTTTTGCCCAATGGAGAATAAGCCCTAAAGAAAGCCCATTTAGGCCTTCTGACCCAAGACTCCAAGAGTAGATTTTTAAAAATTACAGAAAGTCTTTCTCCATCCATCATTTTACCCTATTGACAGAATTCATATATACTGCCTCACTGATTGTAGCATCTTCTCCACTGCCCAATTAAAAAAAAAATGCCTCGTTAGAAACCTAGCAAAAAAAGCAAGCTCCCGGCGACCATGGTCCATGGTTGAAGTAGATCATCATCATTTAAAACTTTGTCCTAATTATAAGGGATTTGTTATATGAATCTTTGTTTCGCCATTCCATTCTGTTTAATGTTATATTCTATTAAATTATGAGTCTTTGAATAATTGTTTATTTACTTTAATTGCTCTCTTTTTTTATTTACTCCTAGCTCTTTCGATCCATTCAACTTGTGACAAATCATCTCTTCTTTAAATATAAATATTAGTGCAGTAGATGTGGGTTCTAATTGACAACACTTAAGTTTCTTTTCTACTATCATCAAAGTTTTGCAAATGTTGTTCATCGGCTTGTGTTTACATGGTGATTATTTTGAAGCCTCATTAGTTCCAAAGGAGTTGTAGTTCCTCAATATGGCAAACATGGTTTTCAAAATCGGACCAGACTGGAAAACTGGGAATCAATTAAATCAGTTCCGTTTTCTCCCAAAACTAAACTTTTGCCAAAAAATGTTGATTTGGCCAATAAATCACTGATTCGGGAGATTGAACCGTTCAAACCATTTGACGGTTTTGACCATTCTTTATTTTTTTTTTGTCAGAATGGGCCGATCATTCGATTCGAACGATCAAACCGTTCGACCCAAGAACCGGACCCTAACCATTTCATTGTCTGGGTCGGTTTTAAAATCCTTGATGGCAATAGTAATATGAAAATAAATTGCTTTAATCCAAAGTAGATTTTTCTCTATGCTCTGGTTGTATGCAATACAAAACTGAACGGAATACAAATTTTGCACAACATTCATGCAAAGTGAGGACCACATAATCTTGCTTCCTATCATACTCTCAAACAAATAACCCTCCTATTTCCATCCTCTTTCTGCAATAAAACTTTCTCTTCTAACAAATGGTACCAAACATTTGTAGGGATGAGACAACCTAGTGCATGTTTGGCTCCGTGTGCATTTCTTGAAAAAACGCTGCCACAACTGCACCGGCTAGGAGCCATTGAGGGAAATGCTTAGATTTTTGTGTTTGGAGCCATTGAGGGAAAAGACAAATTATCGCTTTTCCTAACAGCCTGGCATTTCTCGAAGCACATGGCTGACATGGCATCGACGTGTATGCTGATGTGGTGGCCTGAGGTGGTTGAATCCGGTGCATCGTGAACTATGAAACTCTGTAGAATACTTATACCTTTTTTTCTAGACACCCTAACGCGTCTGAAGAGAACCTTGTGCCATCGTTTTGTCTGTAGAGAAAACTACCACTACTGTCTACTGCTCTCCCGTTTGTTGCTGCCGGTAAGATCGCCGTTAACCTTGAGACCCTCTACTATTTCCATTTTCTTCTAGTAAGCTAGCCAATTTTGACATTTATATATATATATATATATATATATATATATATTGTGCAAATCTGTTACTTCTTCCCGCAAATCTCCTCTATTCACAGACCATCTGTGCTCTTCTTCCCACCGCCGACCCTGAGATGTATTACATTTTTGCAGATCTATTGTTTGGTAGTGGAAATTTTTATTTGAATGTAACAAATAAAG